AGTCAGCTTTGAAGGAGGAAGAAGGGGAGGAAGGTGTGGGGTTTTTGTTTTAAACCTTAGATGAAAAATCCTGCAATCACTGTTCTCAGCTAATAATCAATAAAAGAGAATGAATAAAAGATGTTTATTAGGATTGTATCTAAACGCATCTGGAGAGTTGCTTAGAGGGTCCACGCTGTTCTCAGCATGACTGTGCCTTATTATGGAGGTTTTCTGAGAAACAGAGACTTTTCCCACAGAAACTTGATTTTTTTTTTTCTTCCATTAACAAACTCCATGAGACTCAGTAAAATCTTTCTTCGTATCCTCTTGTTTTCTAACCACTTCATGAAGACTTCTTATGTGAGACTTGTAAGATAGGGAAGCTTGCCTTTTAAGTCAAGACCTCCTGCTTGTTTCAGGTGAAAATGCACAGTATTTCTAGATGATTTGCTTTTTGGGATTTTAAGGGGAAAATGCCATGGTGATAAGTTCAGGGCAACTACTCAGGTTAGTTAAGTAGACAGAATGCATCTCTACACCACAGAAATGAAAGACTCTTACACTCTGTTACCAGAGACTTGAGACCTCAGGCATGTGTTTAAAGCCAGATATGACTGAATTTTAACATGGTGGCAAAGCCACCATGGGCAATGTGTGCAGTATAATGTGTGAAGAGAATAACTTCTTTTTCTAGCATCATGGTGTTAATTTGGATTATTACTTGTTCTCAAAACTGCAAGGAGACTTGAGAGGAAAGAGGAGAGCAAGGAACAAGGCTTTGCCTTGCTTTGCTGAATAAGTATCTCCCCAACATGGTGGAAAGAGGGAGAAGGGGATGATGAATCATTCAGGGTCCCCTATTTCACATTTGTAGGGGCAAACCAGAAATGCAATTTAAGAAAATAAGACATTAAAAGGATATAAATGTCCTCAACCAAGAGGWAGCTAGCTCTTCCCCTGTCCCACCTTAGAGCTGTTCTGGGAGAGCTGTCTTTCCTTGTGTTAACTAATTTAACCTCCAGATTTCTCATGGCTTTTGAAAATGTCTGTCCATTTACACATGAGCCTGGCTTGCGATGCTTTTAGCTTTCGAAGCCTTGAGTCTGGTCTCTGGGGACCAGAGTCTAAAGCTTTGCTTTTGCTGAGAGGCACCACATTTTTGCACGGCGTCCCACATGCTTCAAGGTGACTCTGCAGTGCTACAGGCCAAGGGTTTGCTAGCCAGATGTGTGATAAGGTAAAAAGGTTCTGCTAAAGAGCTTGAGGGAGGAGAAGGCTCATGACCGCTTCAGGAAGGGTGGAACTGCACTCTTTGTGGACTGCTTTTAGGGGTCTTTTTGCTTTCATGGATGTGAATCTCCCTCGCCTTCAATATCCCTGGGTTTCTAATAAATATTTATAGACAAGACACAATGACAAAAAAGGCAACATGTTTGTTTGGTGCCAGATCTGCTACAAGGCTGTCTTCTGAAAATGACTGTAGATTTATTTCCCTTCTGGGTTTAAAATTGCTATGTAAATATCTCTTCCCCGCCATCAGTGTGTGCCTGCTACAGCTGTGAAATGTGATTCAGAAGTGACAGAGATGGAGATCTATGGGTTTATCAGCAGCATTGCAGGGAGAAGAAACTGAAGGCAATGGCGTTAGTTCCCTCAGCCCAGAATTCTTGAAATAGCAAGAGATCCTTGATCTGTGAGCAGAAACACTGCTGCTAGAACCAGGGCATCAGTGCCAGGGCGAATCCAGCAGGAAGAGGAATGCTGCATATAATCATGTGCTAACATGTTATCAGCTCTGAATTTTGAATAAGCTTGTGGTGCATTTAACAAGAGTTTGACTTCTTTCCTTTTTTTTCTTTTCCACTCTTGATAATGCTTTATGTGGAGTATATTGATTCCATTTGCTGGAATATTCCTTCCTTAAATATTCTTAACATAATGTGTATTGTATACGTTCATAACGGCTTTTGCAATCTGGGTATTTCAGTGGCACCAATAAAGCAATTTGGTTTAAATTGAACTCAGTGAAACAGAGAAAATGGAAATTGAGAAAAGGTATGCTTATGTGAGGATGGAAGGAAAGCAAAAGAGAATGCAAGGTAAGGAAAGCGGAATGGATTTCTGAAAGGAGAGAAGAAATGAAAAACAAGAGTAGAAAAAAAATAAAATGTGTGGAAATGTGAGAGTGAGGCATTTTCCGCTTTACCACTATGAAGAAGGAGCCTTGCTGACTTTCAGCTGTTGAGCAGAGAACAATGAGAGGTAGAGAGGGTTATGTGACAATGTCCTTATGTCCTGAACGAGCAAGGGAATGAGAGCATCCTTTCTCTTTCCATGTTCTTATGTGATGTTTACTCCTGGGTATTTAGGCACATCTCAGATCTGTCAAAGGTCAAGTTTTCTCCACCTGCAATACACCTTCCATAGGACCACACTGGAGGATGTGTAAGGTCTATGGAAGGTCAGGAGTGATCCCAAGATGGGTGAAATCAGTAATTTGTCTTCTGCTCTTCAAAGGGTTCATGTCCTTCAAAGGGTTCATTTCTTTACCTGGCAGGATGCAGCTCATCTTGGGATAGGTCAGGTCAGAAGTGCAGAGGACCATTCTGTACTACTTGCTTGCTTTCATTGTCTTCCTTTTATTTTTTTGTGGGAGCTTATTGTGTGCTTGATCTGATTTATTTTTTTCCTCTTTAATTGACAGAGAATTAATTATCCCCTTGAATACGCCTGTCATTTACTCAATGACAGAATTGTCAGGCATCTTTTGACGAGAAAAATGAATGTCACATTACCACCCTCCCTCTCCCCTTCCCATTCTATTTGGTTCATTTTCATTCCAAGGTTTGTTTTATTGTTGATTCAATTTGAAAACAGTCAAATAAAACAAAGAAATGTGAGATAATGACACAGCAGGCAAAAGATGAGCTGCAATGGAGGCAGCTTCTGTTAATGGGAGTCCYTTAGCCAGGGGTAGTGCTCTTGATATGATGGCTGCATTCCAAGATCTCTGATGGAACTGGGGACATGTCATTCTCCACTGGGTCTTTTCCACAGGCTTACTGGAAGATGTAGCCCCTACCTGGAAGGGGGTGGGTTTATCTTCATGGAAGAGCTACTGCAGGTTGAGATTCTCTCCTTTGCAATTGAATCTGTGCTTGCTGCTGTGTTCTCATCTGCACCAGGGGCATCTAAACCTTGAGGTACTTTTTGCATCGTGGCCCTAGCTAACCTGCAGCTGCCTCTAGCCTTTCTTCCTGAGGGCAACTTGAAGCCAATAGCACCACTTTATGGAGTGGGATCCCTGGAGAGCTGTGTCTTTCTCCCAGGTGGCTGAGTGTTTTYGGGCATTTGGAGAGGGGGAAGCTGATAATCAGATGTAAAGAGACCAGGAGTTGCTGTTTTTCCCTTGGTTTACTTCCTGGAGGGAAATGAGCACAGTTAATGGCATCTTGATATTTAAAAACAGGCAGGAGTCAAAGCATCTTGGTTTTTACTAGGTCTCTGACATTTCAGAGAGCTCTTGTTGACTAAATGCTCGGGCGATTAGCTGATGAGGTCTAAGTACCTCCAGCTATGTGAAGATCATTGCCCAAGCTAACTAGTCTAATGACAGCTGGGGCATGACAGAATTGCTTGTCTCAGCAAGACAGTGCAAGAGACCTGCTTGGGGTGGGGATCAGCTGTCATCAGAAAAGCCTCTATTCCTGCCTCTGGAGTGGGGGAAATGGAGAAGGAAACGGAGTGCTAGCAGATGCTTGCCCCATGCTAAAATCACAGGAGTTAGGAACAGTTTCCTTGAAGCATCCCCCAACTCAAGATCTCCATTCCTAAGCACTGCTGGAAAGCCTCCGTTTTAGAAGTCAATTGGATTTTTGAAAAGAGTAGTGGGCGGTTTGAGGTGGAAGGAGATTCTGTGCAAGGGCCTTGGCTTCAGTGCTCTCAACATTTCCTCATGCCTCATAATTAAATTGTAAGYAAAAGTAAGGAGCTGACTGCTCTGCTAATAGCAGTGAAAGGARACAATCATGTAACTTCCATCTGTCTGCAAATATAGTTTATGGAGGAAATACATTAGCAACCTGGAGCTGTGTGCCAGGCTCAATTAGACTAAACAGGATCAAAGGGCACCCCGGGTAATAAATATCCTTGTGGAATCAAGACGGAGTCTTTCTATTTATTGCTGGAGGAGATRATAATCRTTAATGAGTGGAAGTGCAATYCAGCTACTGAAGAGAGTTCATCTTGGGGAGGAGGRTGACGTTATACAGGAGGATAAAGAAAATATGTCCCCTTTCCCTAACATGTAGACAGGCTGGCATTATACATGTTGCCTTTTATAGCCTGCTGCAGTTTAGGAGAGGAATAAAGCACACGTATTGATTGCAGGGCTGTAATGGGAGAGAGGTGGCAAAGGTAATTGGGGAAGTGTTTAAAATGTACACTGGGTAATTGAAAGCTAATATCAAAACCTAGTTCAGCCAGAGAAGAATCTCTTCTAATGAAGCATAAGGTGAAAGGAGATTGACTCTKACTCGTATTGCTACTCCCAGAAAATTTCTTTGCTCTGCTGCTTTTAGGCATYTCTGCCTATACACTGATGCTCACATGCACTATCTTTAGTTAGCATGCTTGCAGATAACATTACCAACTAAGCAGGGAAGATTATAAAACACATTGGGTATAGAAATATATAATAGCAATTGTRTCTGTCTGGTCATGGCCTTGGAAAGATGCAAAACAAAATCCCATTCCCCCTCAAGACGAAAATAAAGAGCAAATCAAAATATTTTAGTATCAAATCTTGCTTTTCTCGAAATTTCCTCCTATTCTTAAACTCCAACAAAAACAACAAAAAATCAGTCTAGAGGGAAGGACTATTTTCTTAAGATGAATGTGTTTTCTGAATGTGGATTCAGTGATCTAGTTATTCAGGCTCAGTTTTTGCTCTTGTAATTGTTATGAAGGGAAGCACATAGCTCTGATGTTTCACTGCCTATTCTGGTTTCATTCTTTAGGACTGAATTTTCTGGAGAGTTCAGCTGAAGTATTAAATCAGGTAATTAGGCCTATTTTGAACTGTTTACTCAATAGCAGAAGTCTTAGGTGGTGCTGGGGCCCAAACAGAAATTATATTGATCCAAAATGTCATATGGCAGCATACAGTGGTGTGGAGCCTAGGGACATGTTGTGCCCATTAAGTGTACAGTGTTGGTATAACTTTTTAGGGTGCACCTGTTTTGGACAAACTACCCACTAAACTAAGCATCCTAGCCAAGAGACTCAAGTAGTTCCCTACTTTGCTCTCCCTGTCCTCACTGCAAGCCCGATGGTTCTGAAAGACAGTGAACAAAGCAGAAGCCTGCAGTGTGCAAGTGAACTCCGCATTGTTTCTTCACCAGCCAGATTTGCTTTTCTGCACAATCTTCCCCCTCTGCCCATCTGTCTGCTTATGCCATTTGGCTGAAGATGAGCACTTTGCTGTGTTAGCAATGTGCCAAGGACCTAAACCTTGATTTAGAGCTTTGGGAAGTGACCATAATATCACATGAGCACTGATAGGTATAACTTTTGACAAAGGACAAGCTAAATCTGCTGCAAAGGATGCTGACCAATGCTGTCTCATTTATTCAAGAATCTTTTCCACTACTGATGTGTTACAACTTCTGTATTCAACCTCTGTGGCAGGTACTCTACTTAATATTTGCACAACACCCTTTCCAATACATGTTACATATTATTTAATGCAAATAGTTATTTTAATATCAGTGATGTAAATGTTTAAGATGCATACAGCTTATACTGCATAAAAATGCTTATTTGACACTTCTGCTTTTTGTAAATATCATTCTTCTGGTGTTTTTCCATTATCTTATGTAGCTCTGCCTGTCAAGTTTGATCACGTTTCCGTACTGAACTGCTAATTGTCACGTTTAATTTGCTAAAGAACGGTCAAATAACTTTTTTCTCCCTGTGCAGCTACCAGGGCACTGTCATATATTATCTGGTACATATGGTCCTAAATTTTTGTTTTTCAAAATGCAGCTCAATAATTGTTTTCCTTGCAAATAAAAGATGGCTAGCTGTCTTGAAATAATTGATTTTCTGGAGAGATCTTCAAAACAAGTTTTATTTGCTCTGTCAGAAAATCTTTACCTTGCACTGTACTGTTCTGTGTACTTGGCATGTTCAAAGTTTACAGGCCAGGGGAAATTACTAGACAAAGGCAAGGAGAAGTATGGAGATTTGTTTGTGTGMTAGCTTGGTGCCATGCTGAGAAATGAAATGTAACTGGGGGGTCCAGTTTTAGCATGGTGAAATGACTCCCCATGACCTGGCCAGAAATGCAGAAAAAGGCTAGCAAAGCCAGGATACTCTTACTGCCTTTGGTGTGAGATCGGGGCCTCCTGCTCTTGCTTGTCTGGGCATATGACTCATAGACCAGAGGTGCCAACTAGTTTTCACACCTTTGTGTAAAGGTGGGCAGAGTGACCCTGATGCCAGGGCATGAGAGCCTTGCTTAAGAATGAATGGCAACAATAATTATTCAAGTGGAGACAACTTCAACTTGTTCCCTAGAAGCAAAAGATTTTGAAAATAAATCAGACTTTACATCTGTTGCAACAATAGGCTAAGGGTTCTAATAAATGTAGTAAGAAACAGGGGTCTAAAAGTCCATTCACAGTTAAGGAGGAAGGAAAAGAGTAATGTTTAATTGTAAGCTTTGTTTATAAGTCAAAAGGTGAGAAAAACATATCGAGTTAGAATTTTGTGTTCCCTGGGGTTAAGCATTCCTTTTTTTTTCAGAGGGCATTTTTTGTTGTGGATGCATTAAGATTGTTGATTTCTAAGACTTCTCTTTTTCAATATCTAAAGTATAATTAGGAAGCTTAACACCAGATGTGAAATGATATTTATGATCATTTTGAAATTGATTTGGGAAAGACAAAATAAATCAGCTGCACAGAGTGACTATTTATCTAATGGCCATAAATTTTAATCACTTCCATATTTTGATGCCTTTGATCATGCAGAGTTTTTCTTTCCACTTCTCCTTGAATATAAAACTGGAGTATCCTTTTCAGTAAAAACAGTGAGACGGGGGTACCGTTGCTATATGTCAAGGAAAAGCTTATTAAAAGGAAAGCAATTATGGGAAGATAGAGCCTTAAAAAAAAAAAAAAAAAAAAAAAAGATAGCCCAAGGCACAGAATTTCTAGATAGGATCAAACAGAAATAAACCCTCAACTTTGTCAAATGTTTTCCCTGCTCTTGATTATATACAGTTTCTGGGCCTTGCTGAACAGTGAATAATCTTAAAAATGTTGCAATGGCTACTTGAAATTTTTATATCTCTTCCCAAAGCCTRCAAGTTTTAAGGATTTTTGGAAATGTTTTGTTGATAATCTGCTAGCAAAATTACATATACCATTACATCAATAAGAGTAGAGCTTCACTTTAGTTTGAATGATGAGGTACATGATTATTTCTTCCCTACTGTGGAGGCTGATAGATGTCTACAGTTTGGGATTTTTCCCCTGAATCTGTTCCAGGCATACTAAAGTACTTCTGCCTACCTCTTTATCTGTTTGCAGAATTGAGAGGGGAATGCTTCCCTTATATTTTCTAAAATGGTTTGATGAACAGGGTCATCAGAAAGCTATGCTTTTTCTGTTAGTGCTTGTTTGCTGCTGTTGAAGGCCTTTCTTCTGGACCTGAGCTTGGAGAGAAACTACCTGCGCTAGCTCTGTAGATGTTGCTAGAGTCATGGGAGTCAGGAAAGGTTACTGGACTTACAGGGATATGATGAGAAGGAGAGACCAGGATTAACTGTTCTTGGCTAGAATGCTCTTGGCGTCTCCTGAAGCTATTTCAAAGCTGGTTGGATATTTGTAGAAAAACTGCAAATGCACTGTGGGCTTTACAGGCAACAGTCCTTGCTTGTGGTTGGAAAAAGTGAAAAGGAAGTTGATGCTTTCATACTGATGTATTTGGTTGTCCTGGTGTTTAGAGAAAAGATGTAGGAGATGATTCTTTCAGACTGATGGAGGAAAAGGGTGAGATAAGGCAAGGAAGAGAAATCATTTTTTTGCATCTGTGACCCTCAGAAAAGAGTGTAAATTGCTTTTCCCTGGGATCCTATGAAACCCAATTGACCAGAGACATGTCCTTTGGATTCCTATTTGTGGAGACTTGTTTTATTTCTGCCTGTTCTCTGCCTGTCTGTGGTGAGAGTAACACGTTACCTCTGAGGATATCTTGGTTTTTTTTTCTACTCTCATAATTAGAGTTGATTTAGAGGGTAGGAGAGGCAGAATATCTTCCTCTATTGGAAAATACAATTCATGTTGTCTAGAATTGTTCATGAGTGCATGCCACATTGGACTAATAGTTTTCATTTGAAAAAAGATAAGTGTTTTGCTCAATCCAAAATGATATGCTTGTTTACAGGGATCAGAGCATGGAGGGAAGCACATTATTTGCATGAGAAACAACAGCTTTATTTCCAATAGAAGWGAGTAGAAGGACTTTGAGATGCTTCAGTATTGATGGATAGATAAAAAAAATATTTTTGTGTGGAGTTCAAGTTTAAGTTATATTTGTTTCTACCTGATAACAAATGTATCTTCCCTTTGTAATGGGAAGCTTTGCACGTAATCTGAACTATCTGTGACAGTCCTAGAAATCAAGATGATGGGTGACTTGTGTCTATCTTTGGCTCCTCAGAACCTCATTGTAGCCTCCTTGGGATTATTCTGTGTCATATTGAGAGCCTGCCTCCAAATGAGCATATAATGCTGATGCTGCTGATGCTCCTGATTTCCCCGCTGGCAAAAAGGATTTACTTGTAAGGAAAGTCTTATCTGGAAATCAGTTGACAACTAGCTCAAGTGTAGCTTGTCCAAGTACCCGTCTTTCAATCCTTGGGTGCTTCTCCTTGTCTGGAAAGCAGGAGGTCACAAACCTTTTTACTCTCCCCATTGCAATCTATTTATAGAGTATCTTCAAGCAAAATGCTTCTCTAATACTTAGCAGAAAGAGCGGTTTCAGATTTTTCCCAGGGGTTCATTGTGATGACTATATGATACAAATAATGCCAGAAGAGGACATGGGGAGGTAGCTGGAGGGGAGTGGCCATGGCAAGTAACCAGGGAAATCTGTCTGGAAGACACTTTGCCTGTTTGATCCCAGAGGACTGTGCCTCCTGAGGCAGATCACAGCAGATCAGTACTGCCTGGCAGTTCTGTCAGCAGTTCTGAGCCACTGGGGTGTTGTTTGTGAAGCCTGATGCTTAGGCTGCTCTGCTTGGTGAATTGCTGAGACATGGATTCCTGACAGGCACACAGTAAAAGGGAAATTAGCAATRGATAAAGTGAATTAAACATAATAAAAATAAAAATGTCCAGCTGGAGCATTCATCTATTATATGAACAACTTCTCAGCTTGAGTGGAAAGATGTTACATAATGCAGAAGGCAGGCCCTGGTTTGAAGAGAAGGACTCTTAATACTTAGCTCTTTGTCTAGCGAGCTAATCCTGAGTGAAGATGGGGCAGCCACAACTGTCCAGTTGCAGTGCTCATGGAGCACTTCTAGACATCTTGCTCTAGCYTTCAGCTCCATGTCACTTCATTTTGGAGTCCAGGATTGCCTGAGCAAGAAGGAGAGAGGATGAATTTGAGGTAGGACTGTAAACTGTTCCCCACAATGCAAGTATTACAGATTGCTTTCTGCTCTTCTTTGAGGGCAAAAATGAAAAGACAAAGACAGATTGTACATACCTGTGTTCTCAGTMAAGTGAGAGAGTAGCTTTGAAACTGAGATGCGGATGCTGTGGGAGAGACCGACTGCCACAGGAGGCTGTGAGATGAAGGCTAGGGGCTGCAGCATGTTGGCTTTGTATATCTCTTGGCTGTGTGGAAAATGGAGAACAGAGCCCATAGGTTGCTTCGGCATGACTTTCTCTCCTCCTAAGAAATATAGAAGTGCTAAAAACTGCCCTGTTTTCAAAACATATTTGTCTGGTTCTTTGATTGTTTTCTATCCTCTTGTAGCTGAAGATGTGCTCTGTGGTATCTCTGGTATGTCTTTCTTTAGAAGGCAAAATACTGATATTCTAGAGACCCCAGGTCTCACTTGGTCTTGACACTGCCTTGTAGACTGCCCTGGACAGAGGCATTTCTGTCTCTGCTTTTATTTTTTTTCTTTTTCCTCTCCCCTCTTAAGTGACTGGGTCATCTCCTTAAACAGACGTGTCTCGAGGG